GCGAATAGAGGAATTGTGGGTTGTGCGTGCTTTTAAAGGCAGAAAATGGAGCTACGTTATTGGTGGGAAGCTACGTTATTGGTTCACACCTTTTGGGTATATCAACTTTGTTGATATATCCAAATTATTTAAAACCCAGCACGCGCCCAGCGACTTGGGCTGAAAAGATTCTGAGTCGGGCCCAAAATATAATTATAACAGCGAATATAAACCTCCTTATTTTATCAAGAGCTTTCCTTCTGCCTTTAAATTGTCATGTTTTTTCTTTTATCATTCTTTCTAGAAACATCTGTCGTTTTTGACAGCAGAGCATCAAATAGCAAATAAACATGAAAAATTACGCGCCTCTGATTGATTGATTGGTTGAAAACGAGTGCATTTTTTATGTAGTTGTAACACGAGAGCAAAGTTTTAACACGAGAGCATATTACAAATAGCGCACGCGCTCAAAATTTTGTCTGTGCTGACTTTCCGTAATGCTTTCTTTCATGTAAATTATTAACAAGTAACAAAATGATAATATGCACTTTGTTGTAATAAGTACATGTAGTCATTTCAAATAATAAGTATTTTTAAAAAAATTAGCACTTCTATCCGTTGCAGGCAATACAATCGTAGTGCCTATTATCTGTGTATTTGCGTTGGTTGTAGTTATAAACGGAGGGCAGTGATGAGCTAAGAGATATAAATTTCACTCCTACTACCGTTGACGAATATAAAACTGGCGTTGTTATCGTGGGTGGCATAAAGTTTGTCACACCAACTCAGCATATTTTCACTGTTTTTCATTTTTTTTTTTTAAAGCTTACCTGAAGAGAGCCGTAATAGGTGGATCCTTTTTCCTCTCTAAAGTCCTGTGGTCTGGTCTGTCGATTTTGGCTGTTAAGTTCACAAAGATTCTTTTTGTTCCTATTGGGACGCACATTAACAGACTTACAACCTTTTCTGTCGATGCACTTTAGCTGGCACTCAAATTCGTTGAGGGCAAGAACTGAGTCCATTACATGACCAAGTAAAACACGATCTAAAGAAAGAATGAAGCTGATTCGTGAAACGGAAATCGAAAAGAGAGTTAAAACACATATTTCTAGTTCGCACCAACTGTATTTTCGAATACGTTTCCACAGAAGTTAGCCGCTTTTTCGGGTACAGCCAAGATTTCCAAAAGTGTGTAAAAAGTCATCAAGAAAAGATGGGTCAGTTGCTGCACGGCCATTATGGGATAACGGCGAAAAAGGTGCGGGCACAAACACGTACATGCAATGTGAGCTATGGTAATCAGCTTCTTTTTAAATTACAAAACGAGACAGCTGGCCCCATTTTTTATTGATAATTTACCGACCGTTGACTGAGCTCCCTTGATTACCTCTGGGGTTTTCAGTGTTGCATAAAATGGCGATAAACTTAAATTTATATCAAACACAAGATGTGAATGGGAGAGAGGGGGACGCTGGGGGGAAGGGGTAATTTTTCTAGATCTCCAAGAAATGTGATTTCTGACGTTTGAGTCACGACGAGCTTTATACGACTTTGAATTTCTTGACCCCTACCGATTTTGCGCTATTGAATAGCGCAAAGTCAGGAGGGGGTCTAGTCTTTCTTCACGTAGCATCTCTGCGGGGCAAAAATTTGATGAAGGATTTTGACACGAAAGGTGTTGAGAAGTGAGGTTCGGCACATGGCTATCAACAGCCATTAATCAATCGATCGATGATACAGCGCGCGATAGTTGCTTTTCTTATCAGAGTAGGAAAACAGTAACTTTGACTCTTAGCAGAGCGTATTATTTCTCATGGTTCCTGCTTCTACATTCAACAGTCACCTAAAGCCAGCTGTNCGAAGGAAGGAATCAAAGCTACATCACATAATGAGCAATGGTTGCGTCCCTACACTGGACACCACACGAGAAAATGCAATAACTCGCCAGCCACGTCATTTCTCTTTCTGTCCAAATCTTTATTTGAACTTACAATGTATTTCTCGACATGAATAATAACTTTAATGAATATAAATTTAACATTTATTTAGCCATTGTCTTGAATAATATCAATACTCTGTACAAAATTCAGACCCGCACTACAAGCCTCCAAGTTAGAAGAGTCTCCATGCTATAACAGGTTTATCACATCCAATCGCTTTGTCCAAATGTCGTTTCTACACCAGATAGAACATTTAGACCGACCTTTGCGAGACACGGCAATTGAGCAACTTCCAATACGTTGTGGAAGAGCTCTGCATCTAATTTTTCCTAGTCACAAGGAGCACTAAGGTAAACAAGGAAATAATGGCAATACTGAGGTTTCACTGAAACACTACTGTGACAACTTTTGAGTGAGAAGTGTAATTGCCAAGGAAACCCAGTTTTTGGACTAAGAATCTGTGACGAAAAAAAAACAAAAAAAAAAAATGTTCAGAACACCGAAAACTTGCCCTACATTTTCATCTGCGATGGTAAGTAAAACTTACCAAACGAAAGCCAGACTAGTCACACACAGACAACTTTGGAGACGGAACCATTACAAGATTATCGCGCACATTGAGGAGACTCTTTCAACTTGAAATAAACACACACCTTGTATGACTTGGTCTACCCTAGGTCTTTTTTAATCAAAGCTATAAGACCACTAACCTCAAAAAGAGTTTGAGAGTTCCAAAACGTTGCAACTACCATGCAACAAATACAAGTTAATATAGGAAGGATATGAATGCACGGAAAATCAGTTAAGTACGCTCGCTCTCACTGCTTGATAGGTATGTCAATATGCAAGTATAAACCCACAGTTGAAATGCGTGACTAACCCTTATCTTTTAAGAGAGAACTCTTATAAAGCAGCCGAGGGCATTCGTGTGCTTACATAGCCTAAGCTTAAAACTCACAAGGTGAGGAGCATTCTCATAAGCTCTGCAAACTGTTTGTATCAGTGTTTCAGATTCACCCTATCCCCTAATGTTTAGACAAAGATAATGCGAGTTTCATCTAATTTCCAGTTCTACGAGTCTCTTCTGGTCGTTAAATCGGAGTTCCCCGTAGTTTGAAAGATAGCTGACGCTACTGCGAGAATCAGACACTATTCTTCACTTTGTTGATGTAGAACAACAAATTATTTTCAAATGTGCTGCGTATTGCTGTCCAAACTAGAGGTTAGGATGGCAGAATATAGGCTAAGTTCGTTTTTTAGCGACTATGCCCGCGGAGACGGACGGAGTAGAGTACCATAACTGAAGCTGTAAACATAGAACGAGTTTGATATCCAGCCATCAAGACCGAACAATCTTGGGGGAAAAAAATCACGAACTACAAGACTACATTCAAAGAGATCCACATTGCCAGGAGAAAAAGGCAACAAAGCCGAGAGGTGGTCACGATGCAACACGGGATTCGCCCTTAAACACTGTTTTGTTTAATGTGTAGTCAAGGTTCATTTCTTCAAAAGTCGAATAGCAACTTTAAAACAGATTTTGCAATTTGGCTCCGAGTCCAACGTGTTGGTAAATACAAATATCAAAAAGCATTCTCGTTACATCAACAACGCGAAAATAGTTTCCACATCAATGTTAAATTCGGATGTAGCATTAAATACGTAAACAAAACTTTGGGATAAGTTTTGCAACGGAAATAATTTTTCGAGCTACAATTAGCTTAAGTAAAATTCTTCACCCTTCAAACGTCTAAAACCTTCCCCTTATGTAATTAGCTCAAAGCAGCAGAGAGAGTTGAAGTTTTTTTAATATACCGTACCTATAACTATCAAGGACTCCTTTAAAGCGTACGACAAATTCTTTTAAAATCGGTAATAAAATTGAAAGTAAGCAGGATATTCTACAATTGAACAATAGTCCTTTTTAGAGTTGTGGGCTTGGTGGCCAAGCCTTTGAACAGGAGTGAGGCTAAGGATGACCTTGTTATGATACAGATGTTGCTGCTTTTCAACTGCAAATTTCTTTGTTATCATGCTAACTTGATACAGGTCTCTATCACAACAGGGTCACCCTTAGCCTCACTCCTGTTCAAAGGCTTGGCCACCAAGCCCACAACTGTGAAAAGGACTATTCATTAGCTTTCTCGCACAAGAACGAAAACCAAATTGTTAACATTTTGAAATTAATATTGTTATATAAGCTGTTTCCTCTGCACCCGCATTTTTTAATTGTTTTTTCTTTACCCCGATCAGTGATTAATATGAAACTTCTCATAGTTGCAGTACAAAATGCTGAGAGCAGATGAGGAGAATAGAAATCCCCATATAACGGATTTATCTTGATAGAACTCAATTCGCTCAATTAATTTATAAGGAAACAAGCTGAGTCTAAAATAAAGAATTATGAAAAAAGACGTGGACTTTCAGGGTTAATGGAGTAATGGTGAGAGACCAAATAACATAATAGTGATAAGCCGACAAGAATAAAAAATCTACATTTTTTTTGTATTAAGTTTCTTGAAGAACGCTTAAAAATGGCGTTGAAGTAACACAGAGCGAACTGGTGTGTATAATGATTTGATACGTGGTCTCATACCATTACCCAAGTCTCACTAACAGCAATTACTTGAGTCATTTGGCAACAATACACTGTGGTACAATTACGGGGTGACCAAAAATAAAAGCTGCAAAAGGAAAGATTACTGTATACTGCAAAGCCTATTCCACATTGAAATAGACGATAAGATGATTTTTAAGAGTACTAACAACCCATTTTAGGTCAACTTGAATGCGCGACTGGGAAAAAATTCAGAGTCAACCAATACTTCCTTTCCATGCCTGTGAATTACCGACGTGTTGGCGTGGAACTTTCCAGCCTCGGTTGAGACAAGACTTGCGCTTGATCCTGACAGCAGACTCCACGGTCAAATAGGGTCATATTCACAGCTTGTGGCAAACGCACCCCTTCACTAAAAAGCCTTGTTTGGCTACGATCCTAGTCACCATTTTAAAAAAGCTTCAGAGATTGTTCAGGAGTAATACCTCATTTTTCTCCGAGACAAGCGTCAGTGCACCCATTTA